TTAATTCCTTCTCTTTTTTTTTCTTCTTCTTCTTCAATTCATTTTTCTCACCCCACCGTCTCTATCTTATCATAACTTTATTTATAGAGATTATTTATTTTTACGTGTCCTGCATTTTAATTTCCTTATTTGTTTCTATATGTTTTCATTGCAATCAACATCCAAGCATTCATTGGGTGTCAATGACTTATTTAGTTTCGAAAATAGTCTTCCAGAATGAATGAATGAATGAATTTTTACCCCACTAGGACATCACACAAGCGATAAACACCCGATGACACAAAGTGCCACCATGTGGGTGAGGATCACCGTGGAGAGGTCCCAGAAACCGCGTTCAGACAATTGGCCATATTTATGGCCTGTCTATATTGCGGCCCCTGGCAAAAGCCAGAGTGGGGCTTCAAATAACAAAAAATTACGTCCTGAAAAGGACGTACTGCTAATAAACAGTCTTCCAGAGGTTTTCTCTCCTGTTTATATAGGGTGCATGTTGGCAGGAAGTGGTCTATTGTCTTTTCCTGAAAGTAATCTAGGCATAAGAGTGCTGTACACTTAGCTTTACAGTATCCAAGTCCTAATCTCCATAACTTGTTATTTTCGGAATTTTTAGGTTGTCTTTTAGGTTGTCTTAGACTTGTGCTGTCAGGGCAGATTCTCTCAAATATTCTGCCAGTAGCACTCATTCCCCACTGTCTGTTCCACATTCCTGAGATATACCGTTTGATTTGACTCTTACTGTCAGTTTTTTGCCTGTTTCTATTATTTTATGACTGCTATATAGTGCAGAAGTTTTGACAACGAACAAGCAACTAGAACATCGGATTGAGTTCCTGGGAATGCGAGTATACAAAAGACCAGGTCGTCTTTCAAGGAAACAAAAACAGTCAAATAGAGAGCTCTAGAAAGATTACAAATGAAAAGAGAATTACTGAAATAAATAATAATTTTAAAAAAAGACAACTTAAATTCTTTGGTCACATTAACACACTTTTAAAAACCATTCTGGAAGGAAAGGTAGAAGGCAAGAGAGCAAGAGGTAGGCAACGATACAAGTGGAAAAACAATGTAAAGAGATGGACTGACAGCAGTCTGGGAGAGCGTACGACTAGGACAAGAGACAGGGCGTGCTGGAGATCTATTGCAGCCAATCTTCACTCTGGAGACGGCACTTGATTTATTGATTTAAATACTGCATATCCTCTGTGGGTTCTAGTGTCCCAGTATAGGTGGGGGGGGGGGGAGACCCACTGCCTGCAACAAGCATTAGGCATAAGTCGACTAATTAAGGTATTTTATTTGGTGTCAGAATGCCTCTGCCTAAGATGAGATGAACGAAAGTCTGCAAAAAAATAAGCAAGATATGTAAAACTGATATGCACACCAAACTCTAGTTCTGGAACAATACTAATGTTCAGAAATGAAAGAGTAACCAGAACTTTCCGCGGGAGTTTACAGCTTATGAAAACAACGAGGGGGGGGAGGGGGAGGGGATACTGCATACTAATATAGAAGAGAATGGGAGCATAGTATTGCAGACTACTTAGTTCATCGTGATGATGTTAAGATAGTTTGTTTCACATTTTCTTCTTTCAGCATTGATTCCGCTATTTTAAATTATTTGGCCCACCATCTCCTGGAGTTCAGTCTGTAAGATTACCATCTGAAGGATGAGACTGAAACAAATACAAGTCCATAACTTTTTAGATCTGCGTGGCATGGTCAAACAATTTATTACTAAAACTGAAATCCATAGGCCTATATAGAAGCTTTCCTTCAAGATAACATCGAGAAGAATAATTAATGACTGCACACTAAGGAAACAATATGTCCACCATGTTTTGGTGACACAATGCTATCGAGATCATCTGATTATTCATATTAAATAAGTAAAAGTCTCTTCTCCGCGCCTTTTGGCGTGTTGAGCAAGACCTATAATTTTATAGACCAATCGGTACTTGGTGGGTGGTGTGGTCAGCATTTCGCGGGCAGCCTTTACTTCCGATGACTGCACCTGGTACCCACTCAAGGCTGGGTCGACCTGAGAGTCAAGGTCATTGTTAAAAAAAAAGTCCGGCTCCTTCAGGACGCGAACCTAAGACCTTCCGATCCGCAGGCGGGCGTCTAGTCGCCAACACCACCCGCTTTTTTATGATACAATATATAATAATTCACGGTACAATTTCTATCATGGCCCAAAGTCAAAGCAAAATGTGAAACCTTGCAAATTGCATGAGGTCAAATGGGTGAGTACATGACATATAGATTTAAAATAACAAATATATACCCTGCGTGAACTCAGTTAACCTAAGGGTTGACCGTGATTATGTTTGAACAACTATTACTACTACTATCGCGTTCATCCGTAATACACAGTTATAGTGGGACATCCGACGTTTACAAAGTAATATTGTAGTCCTATTTTTCTGGGGTGTGTTATTTTTTCTTCTTTTTCTGCACTCGCCCTTTAAAAGCGGTTGCCATACTGTGACTGTGTTTTATAGCATGGCTGCGATATCTTTCGTCTTTCAGACCCAACACACCTAATTTCAGCAAATCTTTAGTTAGTCACCTTTTATGTCTTGCTTGTAAAGGTAAAGTGGATGTTATTTCCCCATAATAGGAGCCCACACGGGGAATGTTAACTAATATTTGTGTTATTTTTAGTTCTTGCTCCTATTAAATGCATTTTTATTTCATTCAGCATCAAATTTGAGTCTGTGTCATCACTTCAGCATTCTTTCTTACGATTGGTGAATTCTCTCGATGGTTATGATTGGTTATATTTTTAATAAAACCGCCGTGCGAGTTGCCGCGTGTGTCTCATGATGTTTTTTCAGTGAAAGGGAACTGGTAACTGGATATTTTCGTTAGTATTTCTGTTACTTTATGCCTTATATAACTGTGATTATTTACATATAATTCTTCAAAGACCAAGTTCATGCCTAGCTTTAGTCTTAATATTTTAAGAAAACTATTTCAGTGTTTGTGATTTCAAGTGAAAGAAAGTTGGAACATGAAAGTGAATTGAATGAAGCAGCGCAATTAATATATTATTGTATATTATTATTATTAATTATTATATATATATATTATTTAATTATTGTCACTTATTGTAAAAAATTTTGTTAAGTTGATAGAAACTTCAAACTAGTTTATCTTATAACCAAACTTGTTATGCTGTTAGTGTTTATTTATTGAGTACATAAATCTCCTAGTCCGTCTGACAACTTAATTTGTCCTCAAACAAGTGCCATGTAGTGAACTACTAAGAAGTGTACTGTTAGTCTGCCTGTCAGAACTGCGACCTGTTTTCACACTGTAAGTGTAGCACATGTGATGGTAGCTGACCGATTTATTCTGCCTTGGCTAGCAGTTAGTAATCTCCGCGCCAAAATGAATGAAAACTACACCACTGGGAAAAAATGTCTGGCTAATGAATGAATTAAGAATTGACAGCACTGCACTAGGGACATTTTCGTATGTGCTCCGTCTCCTTTACCTTTAGCACCTGTAGTCTGTAGCTAACAACGCCTAACGAAGATAATAGTCAATCAACATCAATGGTGCCATTTGTAACTACTAACTGTAACCTGGTTAAAATTTTAAAGTCCATTTATGTTTTCCTGTCAATTTTGATTCATCTTCCAGAATCAGAATCTCAACTCAGCTCTGGTTGATTAGTCTTTCAATGTGTACATAGATTCTCTGTCCCTTCTGTTACACTTACACTGTGTGAGCCTTCACCACTTCCACTTTCACACTGCCCAGAGGAGCCGCGGCAGCAGCCAGCCAGCTCTCAGCCTTGTAATGAAATGATTACCCTAAATATCCTGGACAGAACATCCATATGTTCCTGATCTGAGTCTTATCAAGTGATGCAAGCCACTGACACTCTACCACATACATAGGCATAGGACACCAGTTTCAATTCAGCTTGGGGGGAAAAAAGTCTTATCTGGCTATCAATCATTGTCATGTCAACACAGTTGAGAATGTGGACACTGTTTCACATTGAAATAAAATGTTAGTTAATGGCTTACTAGGTTTATTTCATTTCATTTCTGTCATCAAATTTTTAATTAAAAACTCATTTTTAAAAAATAAAACCAATGTATTTAATACTTGTTTGTCATGTCCTGAAACTCAGCATATGTTTTTCATACCCAGACCTGTCTGGAATTCTGTCTGAGTAAAATTGTAAGTTAGAATATGACATTTTCTTCATGGCTTTAGGAATTGGAAACATTAGTTCACTCACAAATGTTATTGGTACCGCTAGAAACATTTTTACTGGCAAAGTTCATTGCACTTCTTGAATACACTTATCTTGCCTCAGTCCTTTATGAATGATGGTTTTAAATGTCATTACAGACTAATTCTAGTACTTGTATTAATTTAAAGTATCTTATTTTTACTGACCTCCTCAACCTCCCTCTACTCTCTTTCTCTCTCTCTGTCTCTCTCTCTCTCTCTCACACACACAGTGCACACACATACTTCAAGGTCTACTTTTATTTTTTATGCATATGGTTCTGCACCAAAGTCAAGAAGTGGACAAACTACCAAAACTTTCTGCCAGAGTTTACACGCAGTGAACGCTACGTAAAAGAGGGGAGATAAGATTGTTACATTTGTAACTGAAACTATACATTGTAATATTAAACCTTTAGGGTGGCATTTTGGTGGGTGGTTCAGAGATGGTCTAATTGAGGACAACAAAGCCTGACAAGCGATTGCATCAGCAATTCTTTCCTGTAAGTTTTTTTTAAAAGGTGCCACAAACTTGTCTCAGTAATAATAAAAAACTCACCCTCAGCCTTATAAACCGCCTTTTTGGCCTCTACCCCCCCCCCCCCCCCACCCCCCTTTCAAGTGACTACCATATGGTTTAATGGTAGTGGTATGAAACATTGCAATTAATTCATTATAGAATACAGAAAAAAAAGTAAAAATTTTGTGCAATTTTTTTTTTTAGTCTCTTGTAAGCAACTTCAGTAACCATGGCCGCAAGCTGGAACCTCCAGGATGATATTTCTGTGGATGACCCGGAGATTTACAGTCTCATCCAGAAAGAAAAGGACAGGCAGAGAAAGGGTCTGGAAATGATTGCATCAGAAAATTTTGCCAGCAAGTCTGTGCTGCAAGCCTTGGGCTCCTGTCTAAACAATAAATACTCAGAAGGGCAGCCTGGTCAGAGGTAATTTTTTTTTTTTAGTTGACTGTTAACTTAATGACACCTTCATAAGGAAATAAAGAATGGTAACATTTTTCTCTGAACCATGTCATATGAGGCAACAGTACAGGTTGGTTATACTGCCCATTAGGAGGAGGCTGTGTGGTCTCGCGGCATGGTGTCCACCCCGAGTGATAGAGGTTCCGGGTTCAATCCCCGGTAAAGGCTGGAATTTTTCTACTTGGACTTCTAGTAATTTCCCCTGGTCTCTGCGTAGTTAGATCAGACGCCCGTGTGCAATTTTGCGCACATAAAATATCCATTGTCAGTTGGAAATCGAAAAGAGTAGCCTAACGGCGCTGCCCGGGAAAAATTTTGAATTAAAAAATATACTATAAAAATATAAAGTATTTCAGGATCCTCGCCAGTGCTACAGAGCCTGTGCACTGTGCTGAGCTTCTTCGGTCTTGGACTTAAATTAGAAGAAGAACAGAGCACTTATGGGTTACACCCGTGTGCCATGATGTTGATCCATTGTTTAAAACCTCAAACTACCCATTTGGAAGAAAAACCTTCTCTGCAAAGAACACACACAAAAAAACCAGTGGTTAAAGCCGAGGGGATCGACTCAATTGAGTTATGAGTTGGGTTATCTTCATGGCAGTCCGGACATGGCCAGAAGTGTTCAAATCTCCTTTCAACTTATGCATCAGCATCCTACGGTTAATAATAGTTAACAAGACTTCTGGTGTGCCCATGCTTGTCTGTGCCAATCTTTACTCCAAATTTTTGCATTTTTAACAATGATGTGGGCACTGTTGCCAAAATCCCCCAGTTGTCCTATCTCTCTAAAGACATTAACAGTGTTGGCATGATCTATAGGCTGCTGTCTGTAACGTCGTTGTTCTGGGTTATCCCAGATAGCTCGACATCTCTCTACAGAATGGTTTACTGCCACCGAGAGTGTCACATAAAGCATGAAATCTCTGTAAAATGAACCAGTGACCACCAGAGTGCGAGGCTACTTCGCCGCGGATAAATCCATAAAAAACTTGACACATTTAAGGTTTAGCAGAGTTATTATGACATTCTTGTTATAGGATGGTGGCCCCAATCCTTTTTTTTTTCAGTGGAGCCTCAGAGCCCACACTATAAATATTTGATAGTGATATTTTACTATCAGCAAAGTCAAAACAACAAAATTATTCAAGTTGTTTATCAAGGTTAATTTCTTACAGTAAACAGTTTCTGAATATTCTAGACAGGTTATATAAACAAAGATCCGTTCCAAGAAATGTGGATTGCTGGCTTAAGCAAATAAAACAAAATTATTTTGAAGGAATTTTTACCATACGACAATAAATACTTATTATATTTGATAGTGAGATTTTATTATCAGCAAGGTCAAAACAACAAACTTGTTTATTAGCGTTGAATTATTGCTGCAAATAATTTATGGATATTCCAGACTGGCATACAATGATCTTTTCTGAGAATATGTGGCTTACTTGCTTACACAAATGAAAAATAGGTGACATGTGTTTCTGCCCTCAGAATGTAGGTCAGAAAGTAGGCTATCTGTTAATATGGTGTGTTTTATTATTGGTTATGACATTTTGTGTAGATCTCCTATGGATTAAAATATTCAGAGAACATCTTTCTTTTAATAAACTTTCATTGTTAGTTGATTTGTAAAAAAAAAATGTAGCTTGAATTCTGTGAAACAATTGGCATACTGAATTTTGTAAATTTGTTTATTAATGTTAAAAAAAATATTTAAATTTACTATCATTTTGTTTACATTGAGAATAAAGTTATCTCTTTAAAAAACAACTTGTTGGAAAGGTACAGCTTTGTCGGCTATTCAGATTTAAATAAAAGAAAAATCTTTTGTTTTGTTTTTAGTAAACACAATTCTTTTTAAACTATAAAACTGCAGACAGTTGTTAAAATAGTCATTCTTTCTCCATAGCAGAAAGTGTTTAGTTTATTTGCTGACTTTGTTTGGTCATAGTTGCATCATCATCATCAGATGCTTTGTCGACTGGTGTGGGCAATCATCTCTCTCCACAATCCGCAATCTCCTGCAGCATGTATCAGTTTTTGTCCTGACACACCTCCATGCCCTGGAACAAGACTGTCAAGAATATTGTCTTCCTCTATTCCTCCTTCCACATCTTTCCACATGTTCCATTTTCCCTCTTCTCATAACATGGCCGAAAAATTATGACTGTCTCCTTTTGATGTCTGTGATAAGTTGTCTTCGGGCTCCCGCCTCTTTCAAAACCTCTTGGTTGCTCTTTTTGGCTGTCCAAGGTATTTTAAGCATTCTTCTGTAAAACTACATCTCTGAGGCCTCAAGAAATTGTTTGGCCTGCCTACCGATTGTCCAGGACTCACAGCCGTATGTCAAAACTGGATGCATATAGCAAGCAAGAATTTTCTAACCCCCAATGACAAAGATATATTGCATAAGATGTTCTTCATTTTTTAAAATGCAGTTTTTGTCTGTCCTATTCTGTTTCTTATCTCAGTAATGCATCTCCCATCTGATGTTATCCATGTGTCCAGATACTTAAATTTCTGTACTGGACCCATAGGGGTGTACAGAGGGATAAAGACTGTATTTTTCTGAAGCCACGGTTGTGTGACAGTTAGCGTTTATTAGAATAATCTGTAATCTGTCTTGTAATATGCAGCAGAAGCCATTTATTGTAAATAAATCAAGTGTCTGGTGAAATTGTCAGCCATTTTCATCTGTTAAAGGTCGATTAGTCTGTTTTTAAAATGGGGCTAGCAACCTATACACATTATGCCTCATGGTGTTGAAAGTAAATCTTCAGTTTCATATGTTCCCACTAGAGAAACAAAGGTGGCTTAAACTACCTACTTGAGATACTCTTCCTTAGTTAAGGGAGGTCCCTGTGTGGATTCCTCGAAAATAAAAGAATAGGACCCGTTGCCCCCTAACAAGCGTATCGTAAGAGTTAACTAATTAGGGATGTTGTCTTTCAAAGTCAGATTGCGTCTGCTGAGAGGCGAGGGACCAACAATCTGCATGAAAAAAAGCCAGATCTGTAAAATGGATGTATGTGTAAAACTCAGGTTCTGAAACAAGAATTAAAGTCCAGAAATGGATGAAAAACCAGAACTCTGCCGGAGCTTACAGCTGGTGGGTGGCAGCAAAGAAGAAGTTCAGGGAGGATTTTGTGGTCAGGCCATTTGCCTCATGCTGTGTATGTTGTGAGTTCATTTCATAGCCTGTTGTTCAGTCCAGGAGTACAATTTTTACAGATATTCCTACGATGCATTGGACAATTGTCTGCTCATTCTGCTTAGTGAGACTGAGCCATGTGGGATAAAACCTAGTGCAATGAAGATGATTCTTATGATATCACCTAACTCCTTACTGATAAAATGGACTGACAGCCATTTTAAACTTTTGCCTAAGAAAGTCAGTGACCTTGCACTCTAGTTTGCCTACTTAGACTAGTTGTCTGTTGCAGGTAGCACTTGTATAATGTTATCTTTTAATTTAACCTTCAGCCATTTTTCAGTTGGAGGTGTGTCCAAATACTGACCTTATTTGTGTGTGGCCTGAAAAGCATAAACTCGTTATCTGTAAAATTAACTTTAGTGCTTTGTCACATCTGATGTAATGAAACTAACTTAGGAGCAGTTGCACATTTATGAAAGATTTGTCATCATGCTTACTTTGAACTGTTCATTTTTCTACTACTTTTATTACATGATTCTTCAAGTGATATTGGCCTTTTGTATCTCTTAAATGAGATTACATGCTTTAATGGCATTTTTTCAGTTCAAATTATGACTTCTGTCCATTTGATAAAACTGCCTAGTAACTTTTGTCTTTGTTACTGTTTCCATTGTCAGGACAGTTTTTTGTGACAAGGGTGTGATAGTTGTTATTCATGTCTGCCCCTTCCATCCAGCCTTCTGGTATAAATTTGTAGTTACTTGCCAGTGAGCTGTGACATAGTGAGTTCCACTAATTTTTGTGTTTATTTGTAAAAATAATTTAAAACATGGTATGTGTGACAATAGCCCCATGACAGCCATTCACCTTCCATGATCATGCCTTACTCAAAACAGGGAATGTAAACAAGTGTGGCAAACTAAGGGGATTCTTTAAAATGTGACGCGACCTTCAGGATGATTCAGCCTAACGTTGGTAGCAGCAGATCTGAGAAGTAAAGGCAGTCAGCCTGATAGATTTTAAAATGCACAAATTACCTGTATACATTACATAGTGAAAGGAAATGAAAGACCTGATAGACTGGCTGTTTCTGCAGTGGTTATGGACTGAGCAGATGTACTGAATGTGCTGCGTTCCATAGACATTGAGGCATAACAAAGAGACGATGACTGCCTGTTGGAAATGGGTGTTTGATGTTTACATGCATTCAGAAGCTGGTTGCAGGGCAAAGAAAGAAAGAAGTGTGAATGAGCATGGAGACACTGAGATGACCGCTTCATTAAGGACGGAGCGCAAACAAGTCACAGCCTATATATGTGATACTTGGCATGGTGTCCGCCTCAAGTGCTAGAGGTTCCGGGTTTAATCTTGGACTTCTAGTCATTCCCCTGGTCTCTGGGTTGTGAAATTGGACGCCCAGTGCATTGTTGCGCACGTAGGAAATCCCTTGGCAGTTGGAAATTGAAAAGAGTAGCCTAACTGCGCTGCCGGGGCAAAATTTAGAGTTTAAAATCTACTCAAAGTATTTCAGGATTCTCGCCAGTGCTACTGTGCCTGTGCACTGTGCTGAGCTTCTTCGAACTCAGACTTGAGTTGGAAGAAGAACGGAGCACTTATGGGTTACACCCGTGTGCCGTGATGTTGATCCGTTGTTCAAAACCTCAAACTTGGTCAATAATAAGTTTAATTCTAATCTTTGAAGCATGTCTCTTATATTAATCTGATAATATGCCATTCTCACTGTCGCAGATACTATGGTGGCAATGAAATCATTGATCAAGTTGAACGTTTGTGTCAGAAGAGAGCTCTGGAAGCTTTTAATTTGAAACCTGAGGAGTGGGGAGTGAATGTTCAGCCATTGTCAGGATGCCCAGCCAATTTTGCAGTCTACACTGGACTTGTGGAACCACACGGCCGGATCATGGGTCTGTACTTGCCAGACGGGGGTCATCTCAGTCACGGGTTTATGACTCCCCAGAAAAAAGTGTCAGCTACCTCGGTGTATTTTGAATCCTTCCCATACAAGCTGGACCCTAAGACAGGCCTAATTAACTACGATGAACTGGAGGCAAATTCTAAGCTGTTTTTACCCAAACTGATCATTGCAGGTTAGATGTGGTTTTTTTTGTGTGCATGTGTGATTTGTGGCTTTTTTTTTTTTTTTTTTTTTGTATATCATTTTTCCATATTCTTGAGTTGTTTGTCAACTTATTTGTTAATTTATTTTAATACTGTTGATTTGTGTGTATTATCTTTGTTTCTCTGACCTGTCTTGCTCTCTTCCCCCCCCCCCCCCCCCTTTTTTTTTTCCCCTCTCCCCTCTCATATATATATAGTGTTAACTTTTCTTTGCATTTTTAAATATTGGTTGTGTTTTACCTTGGCTTTCACTACGTATAGACTATATGTGCTTATTTTTATATTGCATTTTTGTTTATTTTGTTGTTGTAGAATGATTTCTCTTTACTTATTTTGTTCTGGCTTTGTGTTTTATGGGGCATTATAATTGTTCATTATATTTAGATATGTGTGTATGGTTTATTGTGTGTTAACTTTTTAAACAACAGAAAAGATCCACTGCACCCTAGCAGCGATGTTGAAAAATGCAGATTATTCGCTTATTTCAGATATGTTGGGCTGAAAGGCACAGATATCACAGCCTGGCTGTTAACCACAACACAGTGTGCCAGCTGCCTTTTAATGGCAAACGCAGAAGAAGATTATAATTATTCACTGTGTTCTGAGTTTTGTACAGTGCAACCTGCATAAGGCAACCTTGTATGTGGCAAATTTCAGTTAAAAATAATTGATTTGTCCCTGGCAATTCTTTTTGTTTGAATTCTTATCAGCACAAGAGGAATTTTTTATAAAAAACCTTTTTTTTAAGGGTCCCCGGTGAGTTCTGCTTGTCAAATCTGCACTGTATGCAAAATATTAAACACAGAAGTGTTTTGTTGTTAATTTAAAATAGTTTTTTGCCTTTTGTATTTTGCAGGAGTCAGTTGTTACTCCAGACATCTTGATTACAAACGCTTCCGCCAAATAGCAGACGATGTTGGGGCTTACCTGATGGCTGATATGGCTCATGTCAGTGGCTTGGTGGCTTCTGACCTGGCACCAAACCCATTCCAGTACTGTGATATAGTCACAACCACCACTCACAAAACTCTCAGAGGGCCACGATCTGGGATGATATTCTTCAGAAGAGGTAAACTTCTGTTTGTAACGTAACCAGTGAATGTTATTTTACGTTGTTATAAAATAATTGTATTACTCTTGTAATATGTTATTCAATCAGGTGCTGTCTCCACAGTGAAAGGTTTTCTGTAAATGATCTCCAACATGCTCCTGTCTTTCTAGGGATGTTCACTCTCCTCCTGATGAGGATGATGATATGTTGCTGTTTATTTGTTGTCAGATGTAATAGTTTTTGTTTCAAATTATGTTTATAGGGCAGTTGGGAGTTTACACTACAGGAGTATGCCATTTGTCTTTATTATTAAAAGCAAAGAGTGTACGCAAAACAGATAATTGAAAAAGTGCCTATGATTTTATTATTAATAGTTAAGACTGGAAGAACTATGTACTTAGTGCTTTTCAGAACAAAGATAATAAAAGCCTTCACATAAGGCAAGTTTTTATAAAATATCGTTTCTGATTATGTCTGTCCATTTGTACTATAAATTAACTTACTCTCTGTATAATACATTAAATTTTAAAATTAATTACAAATAAATTGAATGCTCGTAAATCTAGGCGTCCGAAGAGAGCAGAAAAATGGCACCAAGGAAATGTATGAATTGGAGAAGAAAATCAACGAGGCTGTATTTCCTGGTCTGCAGGGTGGCCCTCACAATCATCAGATTGCAGGTAAGTTCCATAAACTGTTGGACGTTTGCATAATCAGTTTTGACGTTTCTAATATCACTGAATATTGCTGTCAAGACACACTTACAGGGGCTTGGTAAATTATGTTTAGGCGGACACGTGCATGCAAATATAACACCAAAATGTTTCTGTTTGATGACAGTTTGGACATTACAGACATTTCTGTGGACACATTTGCAACCAATGTTAATTATATGTGGGTGGTGAGGTGCACATGTGCGTGCATATGAACCTTCCTACAAATTATGTTCTTTCTCCAGTGTACAACTAACTCTTTTATGTGTTAATTCCTTTCCTGTCTTCAGTTTCAAGCCTTCTATTCAACCTTGTCTATTTTATTTATTAAGCTAGCCTAATTGCAGGTGCACTTAGTTGTACCGGCAGTCTGTCTGTCTTGGTTGAAAATATATAAACCATTCAGTAAAATTACGAGCGGGTAATAAAATTAAATGTCAGTTTACAAAACAACAACAAAAAAAAAAACCTGTGCTTATTTCATTTTCTGCTCCTTCCTTTCCTGAAGGGCTGACCAGTCTATGCATGGTTGCCCTGAAGAAGTTCTCCAGGGGCAACATCTGTGGATAAAGTGACAAATGAGGCATGATCGGGTCTCACAAAATAATAGTCAAGTAATTGTAGCGATAGAGTGGATGTCTTCCCTCAAAGTAGGAGTACATCTGCCTGAGAGGCAGGGAACAAGAACCACACACACAAAAATGGATGTACATGCAAAAACTCCTGGTCCTGACATGAAGAAAAAAATTCAAATTGACGAACAACCAGAACTTGCCACTGGAATTTACAGCCGCTTAGCATTAAGAAGAAGAATAGCCATTGCTGCGCTCAAGCAATGTACTGCAAACTCTTCCTCCTTTGGACACCTAACAGCAGACGTGGAAATTGATGATGTTCATCTCTAAGTGTTTGTACCATAGAGCAGCAATAAATATAAAAAAAATTCAAGTTTGCTAATTGCTGGGTCACCAAAATTCTGTCTTTGAGTATCAGGAAACTAATACATTTATTTACTACCATAAATATCATGAGAAAGACTGCAGATAGAGAAGTCTGGTGAACTCTGGCAAATCTCTAAACTGCAGTGTAGAAGAGAAATGACTAAATAAGCAAGAAATATCAGCATTGGCTTGTTATATTCATCCTTTCTACAACAATGACAACTGTTAACTTATCCTGTTTCATATTGCTACTACTTTATTGAAACTAGACTATTTCTCTGAAGTGGACATTCTCTAAAATGTTGAAGTAACAACTGTCTCTTATTGAAAGAGTTAATCTACCTGTAAGGTAATTAAGTGTTAATTGTTCATGTCTTCATTAGCTGTTGCTGTAGCACTGAAACAGGTAGCAAGTCCAGAATTCAAAGAATATCAGAAACTTGTCATCAGCAATGCAAAGACAATGTGCCAGTTCTTGTTGGACAAAGGCTATCACGTTGTATCTGGTAAGTGTCGTGTCCAATTTTCTTAATCACTAGGTACTTTTAACTGTCTGGCACTGATAATTTTTTTTAACTCTTTTTGTATAATGAAAAATTCAAATTGACTATAGAGTAAGACATTCTTATGGTCGATTCCATGATTTGTGTTAACAGTCAAATGAAATAGACCTAAGTTTAGTATGTGTGTGTGAGTGAATATATATATATATATATATATATATATATATATATATATATATATATATATATATATATATATATATATATATATATATATATATATATATATATATATATATATATATATATATATATATATATATATATATATATATAGATATATAGATAGATAACATTTCTACCCCCACTTTATCCATGTCATTAGAGGTTAGGAATATAATTATTGCATGCTATATAGAGCCGATTTTAACATACCGCTGGGAATCCTGGACAATTTATAAAACAAGCGAAATAGTTTCTTGAAGGCCTCAGAGATATGGTTTACAAAAGAATCTTTAGAATTTCTGGGACAATCAACAGGAGCCACCTAGATGTTTTGAAAGAGGCGAGGACTCAAAACACAACTCATCAAAAATAGACAATCATCACCTTTTGGTCATGTTATGAGTAGGAAACTGGAACATATTGTGACCACTGGAAAGAGACACATACGGAAGACAGTGCGAGGAGATCCTTGACAGCCTCTTTGTCATGGCATGGAGGGGTGTCAGCGCACGAACTGATGCACACAGTTGGTGGAGAGGTGTGATTACCCACGCAATTTGGCACGGTATTTGATGATAATGAACACCACTTTATGCAACCATTATATTGAAAATTAATGACCAAGAGAATTATATATCTACGAAAGGTTGCAGGAGTGACCAGAAAAGATATCAGGAGTTGAGTCGTAAGAGAAAGAGTTGGCATAGAAACAATACTGAATTACACACAAATATAGCACATTAAGTAATTTGTCTACTTAGAGAATGCCTTGTGTTGCCATGCCATTCAATGATTATACAAAAAGAGAGGGACAGATGTAGAACATGAGCTAAGATCGAAGAGCATAGTGGAGAGTAACACAGAAATTACAGGTGTCCGGTCAAGGCAGTCAGAACAGTGAGAACAGAAACCAAGTGACACCCAATGCAGCAAAGGGGAGGAAGTGAAGACTGGTTGTCAAAAATATTTTGTAGTTGTGTTTGTTCCAAGCAGCTCAACAGGAGTTGAAGGAAATGGAATGAAGTGTGTAAAATATGCTGTCATTTTATGTGTGTGTGCCACTCACCAGAATATTTTCATAACATGCAAACCACCTTTCTTTTCATTTGCTTTTGAATTACCAATAAGAAATCCGTGTCTTGCATACTTTTCATTTGTTTAAATTGGTAATAAATGTATAATCTTTAAACATTTTTGGGATTTTTTTTTTTTAATTTATGTTTGCTTCCATCTGAGCTCTTTTTTGTTTTTTAAATTTCATACTATATAAAACCTATATTGAACTTTCTTACACCTTTCAAGGGGGCACTGACAACCATTTGGTACTGGTGGATCTGCGAAACAAGAACCTGGATGGAGCTCGAGGTGAAAGAATTCTGGAGGATGTTGGTATAGCTGTAAACAAAAACACTTGCCCAGGAGACAAAAGTGCGCTGAAACCAAGTGGTCTTCGTCTTGGAACTCCACCACTTTCTTCCAGAAACTTGAAAAATGAAGACTTTATTAAAGTTATGGAGTTTTTTGATGAAGGTAAGCATTCTTGTAGACCAGTTATTTTTGTGAAATTCTTGATTTCAGAAATAGGCAGATTCTTATGTTTTGTATGTTCAGCGTTTTAAAAAAATAGGGTGGTGGTTGCATTAGCATTGTCTGTTGTTAAAAGCCAAGCTACAATATTTGCATCTTTTTTTTTTAAACCTTATAATTGGTGCCCATGTGTTACTGGAATCCTTAGCACTTTCGCAGCAAAAATGCTTTTAAAAAAAAGAGTGTCATGAACCCGAAGGGTGGAAGTTGATCTTTTTTAAAAAACATCATTTCAAATTAATTTATTGATAATGTTTTAATTCTCTTTTCTTCAGGATAATTAGACATATAGTGGGAGTAGTCAGTGACTTGGACATTAACAAAAGAACACGAGAGAAGACTAACCACCTGTGAAATGAGATGTTTGAGAATGGCTGCGAATAAAACCAGAAGAGATCGAGTGAGAAACGATGTGATTACAAGAACTATTGGAACCATACCCATCGTTAAATTTATTGAGAAGCAAAGAATGAAATGGTTTGGTCACCTAATGAGAATGGAACCAACGATGCCAGCATCAAGAGCATACAACATGAAAATCGAACCACCAAGAGGCAGGGGAAGACCAAGAAGAAGATGGATTGAAGGAGTCACGGACAACTTGAGACTTCATAACATCACGGCATATGAAGCGACTGAGCGCGCCCTGGCTCGGTTGCCGATCATCTGATAGACTGCGACGCCTAGCGGCACAAGCAGATTTTGACAAAAGAAGAAGAAGAAGTCAGTGAATACGAACAGAGTAGAGCATTAAATGGAATTCTCCAGGGCCTAAAACAGTTCTTATGCGTCTCGTGTCATGACCCAGTTGCCCTTTGTCACTGAGATTTAACATAAAAATGTGACATCTATATGGGCTTTTGAAAAAAATGGATTTCAACAAGATATCAGGTTCACTCACATTTAATAACTATATTCATATCTGCATCTCCTAAACACTGCACATGCGTGAACAAAACTATGGACACGCCGGTATCTCGAAAAGATAAATACCTGAATGGCTTGAGCAGGACAAATACACTGACCTGATGCATGATTCTAATGATCACATGAAATGGCAAACTACAACCGCCTGCATTCATTTGCTGAACATGATAATAATGGCGATTTTTGCAGATTAAGGAAAAAAGTGGGGCCCCAGTAAATATTTGTATTCATTCTACCATAAAAGAAATATATTTGCTTTTTTTAAAATGCGTTATTTTTTGTTTGTCTCTACAGCTATAATATTAGCACAAGAAGCAAACAAGGACTGTGGCCCATTACTAAAGGATTTCAAAGCAAAGCTGGAAACGCCAGAATTCAAAGCCAAGATTCAGGATTTGAAGCAGAGGGTTGAAAACTTTGCCATTGCTTTCCCCATGCCTGGCTATGATGACTGGTAGATGTGGTCTCTTGTCATTTATTCCCCGCTGGAGCATAGGGCCTCAGCCAACTTCAGTCAGTGCCTATCTTTGCAGTCTCCTGTGGTTTTCTTTTTGTTCTGAATTATTTGTCTCTTACACTTTGTGTCCATTTGTTTTCAGGATCTCACTCTTTATCTTGTTTATTGTTCATCCCAGAGAACTGACTTTCCTGTCTAGTTCTACTGTTAACAGGTTCACTCAATGGATATAGTTTTCCTCATTAGAGTTGCTTTATTCTGCACCCCTATTTTAGTGCGATTCGGTTTAAGCACAAGTCAGTGAAATTTTAATGTTGATAGGTTTTAGTTATTCAGCAGTGCTGATTTAATGTTAAAATTGAGGGTATTTCCAAGTTTGTTAACCAGATTTAATTTCTTGAGATTTTCAAAAATTTTCTGATGGTATGAGAGCTCCTCTCTTCCCTTATTGTTATCTACATTGTTACTTATCATTCTCCCTCTCGATTGAGGTTTCACCAATAAAGATTGGGTTATATATATTTAACAGAACCAAGTTGTTGTTTGATAATTCATAATGCTTGTTGATTTGTTTGGAGAGTTAATGACTTTTTATGTACAGATTCATTTTTGGGGTAAAAGATTTTCCTATATCATTTTATTCATAATTTGTGGTCAATTGCCACAGCATGGTGTTTTTTTTTTTCATGAGAGAAAATTTTGAATGTAAGTTTTCTGCTTATCCTCTGTGATATAGCGAAAGAGACAGCATTTTGGTGTGTTTAGGGCTGTGGCATAAGTAAGTGCATGAAATGTCCTGAATCGTTCGTACTAAGTCATTTGTCATCATGTTTGTGTATATTTGTATCTTTCCAGTTTTTCAGCATAACATTGACATTGTTTCACCAGTTTTATATATGTGATAGTGAATCACATCTCAGCAGTTTAAAAAAAAAACATTTTACTTTTTATATCTAACAGAGATTTGAAATTATGACAAGAGTTCAGATTATAAACAACTTTTCTTAAACCATGAATACGTTTATAAATGTCTGGCCTGTTCTTCAGTAATGCATTCTGACGTTTTTATGTGCAGGCATTTGTTTAAGCAAAAATAAAATGTACATCCAGCCAAATCAAATGCTGATGGGTCAGTGAGTGCAGTAAAAAGTAAAGCACCTTTTTATGCTAGTGATGTGTCATATGTATGGTTCTACACTGATATTTAAGACAGTTTGATTTTAGGCTTGTGATGTAGTCACTAGGACATTATGTGGGAGCCATGGTCACTGGTGGAAAAGAACTTCTGACTTGATAGTGATTCAAACTGAGGATCAGAAGGCAAGCATCTAACACTGTGACTTTGAATGAGGAAGGATATAATTTTTAATTGTTCACTTAGTTGACTACAGGGCTTCCATTTTTGTTTTGAAAATAAACGTTGCTTTCGTTTTTATGGAAATGTTGGCTGTTAACATTGTTTTGTGTTTATAGTCTTTAGCATTATTTTATCTTCTTCTTTGTTCACCGGCTGTGAATTCCGGCGGAAGGTCCCAGTTAATCGCCCGCTTGAAATTTTGGCTTTTACCAGGACCTGAGTTTTGCGTGTACGACCGTTTCACTGGCTTTTGCCGTTCCCTGCCTTACGGGCAGATGCACTTCGACTTCGAGGGAAGACGTCAGTCCTATTTCTAGGATGACTGTGGCCATTGTTTTGTGTGGGTCGAGATGTTACCTTATGTGTGTGGTGACCTCTTTGTCCCTTTCTCCACAGATGTTGCCCCCTGAGTATCCCCCCTTTGGGGCAGCACTGTGTGGAACGGTTAGCCCTCAAGGGAAGGCAGGGGCAGATCATGGGCATTCCCCGCCATCCAAGGAGGCTTCCATAAAAGCAGAGCCGATACATAACGCTCTGGTTCTGGGCTCACCCAAGGAATCGTCACGTCCTGCACGTAACTGCTTAACCTCACAACCGTATTAATTAGGCTTCCCGCTCGACACGGGCTGCGCCCTCCAGCATTATTTTATGATAGGACTGCTATTTAATGTGGGTTGTGGATGTTTAATTGTGGTTTTTATTATAAAATGATGCAAGTAGTAAGGTAAGTTGAAATACTGCAGAAAACAATACAAAAGATGCCTATTGCACTTCACAAAGATATTTCAATACTACTAATGTGGAAATAATGGTAACATTAAAATCAAATGGCAAACATTTATACTCATGTAATTTCTTTTTTTAGAGTCCATGCAGTGTGGTGTTGGTAGTCATGTTATCCACAACCTTTGGTCTCCTGTACTTTTCATCAACTCTGACACAGATGATCTTAATGCCATACTGTTCAGCATCTGTTCTCTCGGCCTCCCTCTGCCTCTCCTTCCCTCCAACTTTCCTACCGTCACAATGTACTCCACTTTTCTTCTTCTTATCACATGACCAAAGACAGTAGATTGTCGCTTTCTGATGTGGGCAATTAGTTCTCTTTGTGACATCTTCATTACTCTTTTTATCTGTCCAGGGTATTCTCATCATTTATCTATAAAACCACAGCTTCCAGGTATGTCATTTCTACTTGTTATAAATAAAAAAGTAAAGCACACAATATGCCAGCTGCTATCTTAACGCTGGGAAAACTTTTTTTTTAAAAAGGTAATGTCTCTGTGAATACTTGTAATAAATAGCTTTACACAGGTCACTAATTTTTTTTTTTTTTTTTTCACATATTTAAATGGGGTAATCAATAAACACAAGAGTAAAGCATTCAATGAAATACAGTTTCTGTGACCTCTATCAATGAGACTTAAGGAAAATTTGATGTCAAATTAAGAAAATTATTTGGCTAACATGAAAACACCTGAAAGTTATTTTTAGCTAATATATTTATGTTCTAAACATATGCAGGCTAAAATTTATTATGCATCTCATAAACACCTCAGTCTAGACAGGTCAGAAAAAGGACTGTTTTGGTGCAGTTGGGTTAAGGTTAACACAGAAGTTCATTATTTATCAAACACTGCAAGCAATCATGTTCACGTAGCTAATATTTCATGTTTTAAAATTCCCTGAAATAGAATTATTCATTCAGATGAGAATGGACAATGCTGGGAATCATTTTGAAAGCACTTGTGAATTAATTGCTCAATAAAACTGGCAATGGAATTTGGTTATTACATTAGATCAGCTATAATAGAATAAAGTTTCTGGTCACAGCAGAATTTGAAATAACAATAGCTCTGATGTAGTTTCTTGGGCCTAAAAATAAATTTTTTGTTTCATGTTCACTGGCTGTAACTCCAGCGGAAAGTTCTGGTTGTTTGTCCACCTCTGGACTTCAGTCTTGTCCCAGAACCTTCTTCTTCACATTCACCAGCTTTAAACTCCGGTGGAAAGTTCTGGTTGTTCGTCCACTGCAGGCCTGTTCCAGAACCTGAGTGTTGCGTGTGCATCCGTTTTACAGATCTGACTCATTTGTATGAGGGACTGCTGGTTCCTTGCCTCTTAGGCAGATGCACTCCGACTTCGAAAGAAGCTCCCAATTAGTTGACTCTTACGACATGCTTTTAGGTAGGCAGTGGATCTGTTTTTGTTTTCCCTATAATAGGGCCCTGGAACCCACACAGGGAAGTGTTCCAGAACCTGAGTTGCATGCACATCAGTTTTACAAAGCTGACTTTTATGTATGCAGACTGTTGGTTCCTTGCCTCTTAGGCAGATGCACTCCGACTTTGAGGGAAGCCCCCAATGAGTCGACTCTTCCGGCATGCTTGTTGTGGAGACAGTGGGTCTATTCTCATTTCTCCCCACAAAGGGGCCCCTGAACCCACATAAGAATTTTTAAAAAAAAGATGACTCGTAAAATTCTTTTAAAATAGTAATTTATCAAAGTTCTCCTAAACACTGTGAAAGTACAAACAACCAATCTAGTGGGTTAAAATAAAGACCTCCGTGTGGGCTCTGGAGCCCCATTGTCGGGAAAGAAGAATAGACCCAAGTCGGAATACATATGCCTAAGAGGCAAGGGACCACAAATCTGCATACAAATAAGCCAGATCTGTAAAACGAATGTGCACGCCACACTCAGGTTCTGGAGCAAGACTAAGTCCGAAGGTGGACGAACACCCAGAGCTTTCTGCTGTAGTTTAGAGCCGGTGAACGCAGAGAAGAAAATGGAAGCTTTACCCTTTTTTAAAAAAACATGTGCTAATAAAAGCCTGGCGGTGCTCAGAATGAAGCCATGACATTGATCCTCCGGTGTGCATGAGACCTCATGTAAAGCTGTGCAATACTTCTTAACCTGCCAGATATGGCTACTAGATGGCAAAGGCTTACCTTAGTGTTCTGCTGATCTAAAACAACCTAGTAGTGAACAAAGGTTTGTTCATCCATCACAAGTGATGAGGACCACTTTCATTCGTCATTAAACTGCAGTTGAATGTTTGTGAGTCCAAAGGTGACTTCTAAGACGTGCCCAGGAGTGTCTAGGACAATGAGGACAGGGCACAGTGTCTGTAGACAAAGGGCCTGTTTGACGGTTCTTTCTGGCCTGTCTTTGCTGTGAAAGGTAAACATCTAGAGGTGGGGGGCTGGATGGCAGAAACAGGATACCATTAGCCAGATTTGCCAATTTTCAGCATATCAGGCTCGGTACTGAATGGAATGGACTGAAACACCAGAACAATTGCAGGAATGCATTGAGGTAATAATCATCCTGGGCCATCATCATGGAGCCAAACAGCCGCTGGTGCTAAAATAAAGGTCCTCAGCCAGGTGACATCATAATCTATAACAGTGGTTCTCAACCTTCCTAATGCCGTGACCCTTTAATACAGCTCCTCATGTTGGGGTGACCCCCAACCATACAATTATTTTTGTCGCTGCTTTATAACTTAAATGAATATATGTTTTTGCAATGGTCTTTGGCGACCCGTGTGAAAGGGTCATTCCACCCAAAAATGTGTTGAGAACCGCTGATCTATACAGATCGCTCAGTGTTTCATAGGGTGTACCCTGGGTAGGCATAC